ACGAGCCTCGGCGATCTCCAGAGGAACGCTGACTTGACTGAAACTCCAGGGATCCAACTATAAAGCCTCTGCTTGGATAAGTCAATGCCGAAAGGTTCGTGCCATTTCTCACCGCCTCGCTGCGCCCCCAAAGCAACCTTGTCCTCCGTCGATGCGGCGTCTGCCGAGGCCGCTCGGGCCGGCGCGCGTGACTGGGCGCTTCTGCCTGCGGGGCCCAACGTGGTCGTTCCGTCGCTGCAGAAAAATGGCCGGGCTGCGGCCCGCGCAGATGTTCCCGGACTCGAGCGAAAGTGACGGGCAACAGGATTGCGCCGCGCCTTCCATCTGGCCAATCGACCAGCTGAAACTCCAAACGCATCAATGGAATTGAAAATTTACAAATATGCTGGGCAACTTCGCTCAACGCACTTCGCGCGGAAGTGCTGGCGCCCCCAGGCAATCAAACGCGCCCGGGTTGGACGCCGCCGAGGGTGGATGGCGTGAATTGCCAGAACGTCGACGACGCGCCTCGGATTTTTCCCAACCGCGGCACGAGGGGGCCACTTTTGATCATATATGAATATGATATTTCGCCAAACTGTTGCGCTACAAGACTGGGGCCCACCTGCTGGATTGATTGCCGGCCGCAATGGGCGGCCTGGGCTCCGGCGTCGGTCGCGCAGGCGGCGTCGCTGGAAACGCGTCGCGCGCGTTGAAGATGCTTGCCGCGAGCGTACCGCGCCACGCCGACGGCGTAGGCGAACTGGCATATGAGGTGCGCCATGCCATGGCGCGAAACCCTCCCTTCGCTCGGCGATTCGCGCAGCGTCCGAAGATGCCAGGACGCAGCAATCGTGGAGGTTGAGATGGCCATCGGACTTGTGGGCCGAGCTGGCGCCATCGCCATCAGTCCAAAATTACCGGTGAAACCGCACTGCTCTGTCGTCGTCGACTGCGTGTTCCAGTCTGCCCCGACATGGAATGAACATAGCGGCATCGACATTTAGTTGCCCAACAACTTCAGCACGTGCATGCTGGCAGTATCCAGTTCCACACCCATGTGAACATCAACTGAGACACCCCTAGCGGAGGCCGCCCAATGTTATAAACGACCGCCGAGATCAGCCTTCCCTGGGCAAATTCGCAATCAGTATCAGTAGGACCCAATATGATGCCTAATTGCTGTAGAACCAAGTGGCCACTCCTGCTGAATGCGAACCATGTGCGCGCTCAACGGAAGTGCTGCACAACACACGGGATCCAAAGCCCCTGGCTGCACGCTGAAGGTCTGAAACTGCCTGCAGTCCCGTACCGACCTCCTGCGCGCACACAACCATCGAAGTAGACGTTGGCTTTGGAAATGCCCTTGCAAGTCCCGAAAGAATTGTCCATCACCTAGCACATCATTAACCCCACTCGGCCTGCCCTCTAGCTGAAGAGCGATCAAGCCACCTGCCGAGACTGGGAGCCCAGTTAACATCGGCATCCGGTCAGGAATGAGACGGAGGAGCAGCGGCCGCAACGGCAGCAGGCACATCAAGAACCGGGGTCGTCTTGGCACTGTTAGCCCTCAAAAGCTTGGAACGTCTCCCAGCAAGGCCCTCTCATCGCCACCTGAAGCCGCCATGTGCAACTTCTGAACGTCCACCCCGACAAGCATTCGAAGGCCTGCGGCATGGGCTGGTCGTCTGCGCCTGGTTGAAGCTGTGCCCCTGCAGACCCAGCAGAAGCAGCTGCTGGTTGTGCCTGCGCCTGCCAGAGTAACGGCTGCAATCTGGCGAAGATGGGGTTGGACAAACGCTTCTTGACATCAGGGTTGGTGTCGTACTCCTGCAGCAGCTTGGACTTATTTGTGGTAGCATGGCCTGCGTTCCCACCCAAAGCCGGTGCAGCTCCAGGCATGATGTGTCGTCGCTCCACCTCCAACGCCTGAGAATCACGCTTGAAAGGAGACTTTTTCCTCTGCGTATCTGCCAGCAGCTTGTGTGCCGACTCTATATGATCTTGAACTGGGCAGCAATACCTTCAGCCGCCTTGGCCTGCTTGCGCTGAACGGCCTATACAAGCGGAGGGCGATGTTGTTGTGCCTGTCCAAAACATGCTTGGAGCTGCGCTGGATCTTGCGAGCCTCACGCATCTGGTCCGCTAAGAATTTCTTGGCTAGGCCAGTGTTTTCAACGTCTGCCCTCTGTTCAATGGCCTGCCCAGGCCATTAATGCGTGCAGCACGGAGCTCATCAGGATCAGGCTCAACATAATCACTACCAATCTGGCCAAAAGACGCTGTCGCCGCTGAGCCCGACGACGAATCCATGTCAACTTTATTGAACTTCAGATCAGACTTCTTCTCCGCACCAACCGTGATGGCTGCCACCAAGTCCCCATGAGAAGGTGCCCCTTGTGGCCAATGACCTTGGGGGAGCGCGGTGGCCCCGTTGCTGGTTGTTTGGCGCACTTCTTATCACTCTTGCTCTTGTGAGCTGCCTGCACAACACGAGAGGGGGCAGCAGCATCACAGCGACATTTGACGCGACATGTCCAAGTCGCCGTACGAGTACACTGGGTACATGACCAAGAAGGCTGACAAAAGCTCCCGAGTGCGGAACCATCTTCTGACATTCTCGGCGCGAGACCTGCAAGAGATCCTGTGAGCGGGAAACTTCTGGCCCGCCGATGCCCGCCGACCTGATGTAATGCGTCGGCAACGCCCAAGGGTGCAAAACCCCTGAGCGCAGAAGGGCTCAAGAGAGGAAGCCCGGAGGAGGAGGAGGAGGAGGACGAGGAAGAAGACTGTGGCAGGATGGGAGTGGACGTTCAACGAAGGTTCCATTGCCATAGGCGGGCGACCGAGAAGCAGTCGCGCCCGTTGGAGGCAGAACGCTCGGCTGGACGAGCGGCTCAAGAGCAGGTCTCGGGAGGGCAGGGCGCGAGCGAGGCGCGAGGACGGAGGCCACACCTCCCCTGCGCCCGTAACTGGTCGACCAACGTCCACACCGATCCTGGCCGCCTCGAGGCGCCTGTGCTGCCCCTGGATGCCATAGCTCGCGCATGGGTCTGCGGCGGGCGCACCGCGAGTCGGGCGTCGAGCAAACGGAAGAGAAGACGGCGGACGAGCCGGAAACACGGAGACACGCTGCTGTGGGACCTAAGGGTAAGCGATCGGTGGAAAGTGGCTCTGGGGGGTAAACATCGACATTGAATCGGCGATACATCGCTGATAAATTGGCGACCATCCCCCGATTGCGAATCCGCACTTTCCTGAGCGGGCTCGCGATGAATGGGGCGATTGGGGGTCGATGCGTTGCCCTCGCTGAACCTGCCACTCCCTACATTCGGGCTGTTGAAGCAAGGCGTGCGAAATAGGGAAAAAAGCCCCTCTGTGGCCCCCAAAGCGCCTGAGTGGCCGAGAAACGCTGAAGAGACAGCCATGGACGGGCCTGACGAACATCGAACCCCTCCTGAACTCAAACATCGAGCCCTTGCGTCATTGTCTTGGCTATATCGTTGCCTCTGAGGACGGCGGACATTGGCGGCGCGCGCAAATGCGTTTGGGCGCGGAAGGCTTTTTAGAAAGAGGCTGCTTTGTAGAAAGCGCTGGCCATACATCTATAGATGAGACCTGCGCCTTCTGAAAAACGGGGGTGCTTCCAAGAAGCCTCCTCCCCTCCCCCTACCCCACTCTGCACGTGGCCGAAGACAAATCCCTCCTGTCGGGGGGCGGGCGAAAGTGTACGATACTAAGGCTTTTTGGAAGGAGGCCGCTCCTAAGAAAAGCGCTGGCCATGCATCTATAGGTGGGGCCTGCGCCGTCTGAGAAGCGGGGGTGCTTTCAAGAAGCCTTCTACCCTACCCCGCTCTGCGCGTGGCCGAAGACAACCCCCTCCTGCGGGGGGGGTAGGGGGCGAAAGGGTAGGATAGCAAGAGGCAGGACAGATACTCCAGGGTTTTTTCTAATACATATGATGTTCTTAATGTAGGATGTTTAATACATGCTTAATTCATGAATGAACTGATGCATGAACTCATCGTTGTTTTTAATACTAGATCCCTGCATTTTTTATACATGATCCGCACGCGGAGCATGTATTAAAAACTGCACTGTGCCTCCCCTGGTATCCTCCGGTCTGATTTTCTCCCATCGGCGGCCCCAGCGGTCCCGACCCATTCGCGGGGGCTACTTTCGCACCCTGTAATTCCCCCTGCTTGATGGCCCCGGGACCCCATGACGGGCCCCCGGAGGCGAGATCGGGACAGCACTCGCCTGCATTGGAAACATCGCATCGCCCGAGATCTGGGCTTTCCTCCGTTGGGGGAAAACAAACCGACCTCGCTTTTGACCACCCTCGCTTCCAAGAGATACCAAACGATGCCAAATTGCAGCCTGTACTGGTCAGGCCGCTTGACGAGGAGGCGCGTGGTATGGCTTGGTTTTGCCTGGAAGCGAAAGCGGGGCAGGTAATTCACGCTCTGACTCGATCCTGCTCTGGCGCCCGCACGGTGCCGCGCGGGGAGCAGCCGCCGCCGCGCGCCGCCGCGGGCGGCGCCGCGGGCGGCGCCGCCTCCGCCCGCCGCAGCGCCTCCGCGAGCAGCCCGTGCGCGCGCGGCTGCTCCAGCGCCGAGGCCAGCTGCAGCCACCCGCGCCACCAGTCGCGCGGCCGCGGCTCCTCGCCGCGTCCTCGGCGGCGGCGGGGGCGGCGCTCCTCCTCCTCCTCCTCCTCTTCCTCCTCCTGCTCCTCCTCCTCCTCCTCCTCCTTCTCCTCCTCCTCCTCCTCCTCCTCCTCCTGGTCCTCCCCCTGTTCCTCGCCCCCTCCCCCTCATCTTCCACGGCCTCCGTATCCTCGCAGCGTCCTCGCCGGCCGAGGGCGAAAACGGCGGGCGAGGAGGAGGACGACGGTGAGGGCGATGAGGAGGACGACGGCGGAGACGACGAGGAGGGCCCGGCCGAGGGCGAAAAAGGCGGGCGAGGAGGAGGACGACGGTGAGGGCGATGATGAGGACGACGGCGGAGACGACGAGCAGGGCTCCAGGCTGCCGTCAGCGGCAGACAGCAAGCCGATCCTGGCGGCCAGGCGGGCAAGGTCCCGCGCGCGAGGGGGATGCCCCGACAACAACAGGGGGGGAACTGACCCGCGTGCGGAAACGCGGGCCGCCGCCGTGCCGCTCACATGGTCAGCGCGGTGTTCGCGGCCTCTGCCTTTTTGATGAACTGCGCCATCTGCGAATGGCGCTTCTTCAGCGCGCCGATCTCATCCTTCAGCGTCTTGATGTGCTCCGCACGCTGCTCGTAGTCCTTCGCTAAATTCTCCGAGTTGGTGATGCCCGTCTGCTGTCGCAGCTTGGCGTACTCGGACCTGTGATCATCGCGTTCGTGCTTGGTCTTCGCGACAAGCTCGCGCTGCGCGGCAAGGTCCTGGTCGAGCTGTGCAAGCTCCCGCTTCAGGACTCCGTACTCCTGCTGGACGAACTGCAACTTCTCCCGCATGTGGGTGATGATCTGCACTGTGGAAATTGTCTTCTTCCTCAGCTTGTGCAACTCCTCGTTGCGCTCCTCGATTTTCTCGTTGAGTGTCTGGATCTCGATCTTGAGCTGCTCGAAATCGATCACGTGCAAATTTGCTGCTAGCTCGTCCTTCTTGCGCAAGAGCTGCTCGAGCTTGGCAAGCCTATTTTTCAAGGATGTGTTGGAGCCGCGCACCTTCTCCACTTCTGCGTCCTTGTCAAGCTCGAACTCTTCGACTTCCTGTAGTATCTTGTCCGGGATCCTTTGCCCGTGCGCGCATATTCCGCGTGCTTTGCCACCTGCCGCTTGAACTCCTGGAACGAGTCGCGGCACTCGATGGCCTTCTGACGCTTGGTCTCCAGCTGGCCCTTCAACACGTCGCTCATGCGCGCGGCCTTCACCTGCTGAAGACGCAACTTCAACCGCACTTTGTGTACATTCTGGAGTGCGTTCTCGTATTTGTGGTCTGTCACCTTACCCTCCTGTTTTTCGGCGCTCTCCCTCCTCCCCTCGCCCCTCCTCCTCCTCCTCCTCCTCCTCCTCCTCCTCCTCCTCCTCCTCCCCGCGTGTCCTCACAGGTGGAACCGATGCGTTTTCACTGAATTTCGCATCGCCTCAGCTGTCCGGCGACAGTGCGCTGTGCTAACTTTTCATTTGCCAGTGCGCCGTTCGTGCGCAGGGCTTGACTCTCTCACCTTACCCTCCGACTGCTTCTCCGCGGCGTCTGAATTTCGCATCGCCTCAGCTGTCCGGCGACAGTGCGCTGTGCTAACTTTTCATTTGCCAGTGCGCCGTTCGTGCGCAGGGCTTGACTCTCTCACCTTACCCTCCGACTGCTTCTCCGCGGCGTCGTAGGCCTTCTCCTGCGATCTCCTCTTGAGCAACCCGGGCCTGCAGCTCCTTCTGGCGCTGCTTCGCGCGCTCCTCCAGACCGATGAGCTCTTCGCGCTTCTCCCTCAGCTCGATCGTCTCGTCGGATCGACCTTAGGCTCCTCCTCCACCTCTTCCTCCTCTTCCTCGTCCTCGAGGGCCTCCAGCTCGGCCAGCTGCTCCTCGTCGAGATCCTCGTCGACCTCCTCGTCGCCCACTTCTCGCCGAGATGGCCGTCGAGATCCCTCCTCGTCCTCGGCGCCCGGAGGAAGCATGGCGCTGTCGACGCCGCCCTCGGCCTCGAGCCCGTCCTGCGGGTCCACGCCGGCGCTCGCCGGATCGATCCAGCGAAGCATCCTGAGCGTCCCCATCACCTGGTGCCAGCTCCTAGGCGCCCGCGGCGCCCCCCACCGCATCCTCGCCGGCCTCGCCAGGATCGCCGAGCTCGCCGGGCCCGCCGGCCCCGCCCTCCGGGGCAGCAGGAGGCGCGGCGCCATGCAGCGCTCCTGGCGGCGCGGCGCCTCCCTCGCCGAGCTGCGGGGCGCCCTCCCGCGCGCCCGCGCCCGCGACCCCCTCGGCAGTGCTCTCCGGGCCCTCCGCCTCCGCCAGCCCCGCGGGCGGCTCTGCGGGCGCCTCGGCCCCCGCCTCCTCGGCGAGGGGGGCCGGCCTCGGCTTCGTCCGCTATCCTGCGGGATGCCGGCGGCCGCCGTCCCGCCCGCGCGCGGGGGCGGGCGCACGCGGCAAAGGCGCGCGCGCACCCGACGAGGCCTGGCTGGAGCCATGGCTATGGAGTGGAGACGACGGGCAGGACGAGGAGGGCGAGGAGGATGAGGTGGGCGACGGCGAAGACGACGAGGACGACGACGAGGACGACGACGACGACGAGGACGACGACGAGGACGACGAGGATGACGACGAGGACGACGATTGTTAGCAGCATAAAACACACATGGAAAACAGAGAAAGAGAGAGGGAGAGAGGGAGAGAGAGAGATGGGAAACTCCGACTAAAGCGACCCAAGGCCCGATGTCGACCAAGGCCCGATGTCGACTGTAACGTCATCGCGCTTGGTGTGAAGACCTCGGGCTATGCGATTCCAAGAATGCAGCCTGCCCTGGGCCCCCGATCGGGGGAGGGAGGGGGCGGCATCCTCGGCGGGGACATCGGACCGGCCCTCTGCTGGCGTCCAGCAGAAATCCAGATGTGGCCGAGCCCGAAGAGCTTCGGACCGTCGAACCCACTGATCCCGACCCCAAGACGCTCGCGGCAGACCCTGGGAGGAGGTTTCAAGACGGCCCTGGAACCACGGAAACACCGCTCACATTGCCAGAAGTTGCCTAGACAAATCCAAGCGTGGTCATCAGGCCGCGGCTTGGAAGACACTGGAACCGTCGGATACTCGGCAGACGACAGATCCAGACGCGGCCAAAACGGGAGCAACTCTTCCGCCAGTTCACTGACGAGTTATTAGAAAACGCAACTGGCGAGACAAATCTTCGGCTTTCTTGCTTGAGGGCGCTGGATGACGGGACCTTATCCAGCAACTCGGCTGTGTCGTTCCCGAGCTTGTGGCCTTATATCTCGTCATTCATATCGGGGTCCTGTACAGCGTGTCATTCCGCTTTTGTGACCGAAGCCAACCCCGTGGACTGGAGTGTTAAGAAACTAGCGCTGTTGGGCCGTTTATGTGCAGGCTGCTTTTCCCTACGCAAGTGAAACTGTTTCACTGGTTCAGCCAGCGTGAACAATATCCTTGCGAAGGACCCAACCGTAAGCAGTTGTGGGTACCGCAATTCTGAATATCTTCTTCGGTGAAGCTCCCTATGGAGCCACGAAGCGCTGCACTGGGTGGGGGGGAACGCATGCGGGCGGTACCACTGGCGCCGTCGGTGGAGTTTCCCTATGGTGCCACGAAGCGCTGTACTAGGTGGGGGGGCGCATGCGGGCGGTAGCACCGGGGCCTTCAGTGAAGCCCCCCATGGGGGGCACGAGCCGCTGTAATAAGTGGCGGGGGCGCATGCGGGCGGTAGCACTGGGGCCGTCGGTGGAGCTCTGTACGGGGCCACGAAGCGCTGTACTGGGTAGGGTGCGGGGGGGCGCATGCCGGCGGTAGCACTGGGACCTTCGGTGGAGCTCCCTATGGGGCCACGAAGCGCTGCATTGGGTGGGGGGGACGCACGCGGGCGGTATTGGACTGGGGCCGTCGGTGGAGCTCCCTATGGGGCCACGAAGCGCTGTACTGTGTGTGTGAAGGGCCCGCATACGGGCAGCAGCACCAGGGCCTTCGGTGGAGCTCCCTATGGGGCCCCACGAGACGTTGCACTGGGTCGGTGAGAATTCAAATTGGGCGCCTGGGACGCATGCGGGCGGTCCCAATGCGGGCTTCGGTGCGGCTCCCTATGGGGCCACGAAGCGCTGCCAAATTGGGTGTGCGGGACGCATGCGGGCGGCCCCACTGGGGCCTTCAGTGGAGCTCCGTTTGGGGCCACGAAGCGCTGTGCTGTGCTGGTTCAGTGGCAAATTGGGTGTGTGGGACGCATGCGGGCGGCCCCACTGGGGGCTTCGGTGGAGCTCCGTATGGGGCCACGAAGCGCTGAATGTACTGCGTTGGTTAAATGGCAAATCATATATATATATATATATATATGTATATGTATGTATGTGTGTGTGCGTGTGTGTGTGTGTGTGTGTGTGTGTGTGTGTGTGTGTGTGTGTGTGTGTGTGTGTGTGGGACGCATGCGGGCGGTCCCACTGGGGGCTTCGGTGGAGCTCCGTATGGAGCCACGAAGCGCTGCACTGGATGAGTGAAAATACCAAATTGTGTGTGTGTGTTTGTGTGTGTGTTTGTGTGGGACGCATGCGGGCGGGCCCATTGGGGCCTTCGGTGGAGCTCCCCGTGGGGCCACGAAGCGCTGTGCTGGGTGGGTGAAAATGCAAAATTGGGCGTGTGGGACGCATGCGGGCGGTCCCACTGGGGGTTTCGGTGGAGCTCCGTATGGGGCCACGAGACGCTGTACTTGGTAGGTGGAAGTGCTAAATTGGGTGTGTGGGGCGCATGCGGGTGGTCCCACTGGGGGCTTCGGTGGAGCTCCCTGTGGGGCCGCGAAGCGCTGTACTGGGTGGGTGAAACGCAAGGAAGATGAAGGAGAGAGGGGGGAGGAAGAAGGAACGCGGGGACCGTCTCTTGGAAACGAGGACCCAACACCACAGGATGGTTGGGAAAAGCCATGGGCTCGGGAATCGCAGACTGCCCAGCCGCACACATAGCTAGGAATTCCGCGCCCTGATGGGTCTGGGGATTTGGGGCCCACACTGGGGCGCCCGCGTGACGCGCTGCATTCCGGTCGGCATCGCAGCATATAAGCCCCCACCCCCCAATGGACAATCCGAGAACCACGTGGCGCATGCTACTGCTATCGACGTGGTTGCCCGCCTTCGCCTGGACACCCGCGCAGTCCTCGCGGCCTGGCCAAACCTCGTGCAACTTGCCCTCGGACAACGGCCTCGGGAAAATGCCGCCGGGATGCTCGAACCAGCCTCGGGCAAGCAGAGAAAGCTCGGACTTGTCCTGGAAGTAGATGTTGTCGAGGTAGGGGCGGTTATGTTTAAGCTTCGCGAGAGCCTCCTCGCGTTCGTCTTCGCAAGCAGGGCAATCGAGAATCCCGCGGGCCGCCGTGTCGGGGGCCCCGCGCGGCAACCACTTCCACCAGATGCCCCGCAGCGCGCGGCCTTGATGCACCCCCTCCGCGGAGGAGCGAAACGCCTGGAACTGAACGATGCCCATGGCCGATCGGGCTGGCGGTAGCAAGCCAACCAGGGCCTCGTTCGAGGGCGATGAGAGAGGCGAGCGAGCGCGGCCCAGCACTAGATTGACATGAAATTTCGAATGGCCTCCTAGCCACCGCGAGCTCGGGGTCTGAAATACCTCCGACCTCAATTCCGTGCGCGAGACCAGGCAGGGGACTCGAAACACGGGTGCGCTTGGTGAAGCGGCCCAGGGCCTTCTTGTTACGCTTGAGACGCATCGCTGTCTTCCTCGGGGTCACCAGTCTAGCCCGGAATTTCCCGGAACTCTCGCGCCTGGCCGAAAAGATCCGCCACAAGAGCGGCCGACGCAATTAGACCGCAGCAGAGTTGCGCGATCGCCAGCCGGGCCCCCCCAGGTCCGCGCGCATCTTGGCCGCTGGCTGCGTCGCGGAAGTGACGGGGGCGGCCTTCTCACTGGGCACCCGCCCGGGCCGGTCATATTAAATGATGCCGCGACTTGTGGCCGAGCGTCTCACGATCCCTGTGACTGCGGAGGGCCCCTGATGGCGCAGTCATCCACGTGCGTGTCCAGGCTCTGTCGATGCTTTAGGTGGCGAGCGCGCGGATGAGCATCGCGGCCAGAGAGCGGCCGGCGATGGCCCCGCGATTCGCGGGAAGAGAACCCGTGACCAAAACGGCCATCGATGAGCATCGAGGCGCCCGATAGGGCGCAACGGCGAGCCGAGCTAATGGAAATTGGCATCAGCTCAGCGCGGCCGTGGAAGGTCTAGCGGAGTTAGCTCGTGCAATTCACGCAGATCCCGCGATGGCGCAGCTGCTGGGTCGCCTGCTGACCCAAAGCATTCTGCGCGGAAGGTCGGGCGCCAAACAGCGCCCGATGCTGAAGCAATGCTGATGCCTGCCAAGCACTCGCGCTGAAACCGAGCCCCCCAGGCTGCCGCGGGGCCCTGGCGGCGGCGACCCCACGGGCGGCGGCGGGGCGCGAAGACGCCGATGGGGCGGCGCCCCCCCCCCGCTGGTCTGGCAAAGATGGCCGCGGGAAACGCTCGCGGCTGCTTCGGCGCCAGACCTGGCCGTTCCATGATCGACATGGCGTCGCCGAAGACCGCGCGGCGACCGTTCCCCATGAAATCGTCGCGTCCCACGTGGAAGCCGTCAAGCGATGCCGCCGCGCCCCCGGCGAATATGCGGCACGCCTGACGATGGACTTCAGGCGCGAGAGAAGGCAGCGCATCCGCCGGCTCAGACAACTCCGGCGCGCAGGCTGGCGAGGGCGAGGCGCGCCGCGCAGGGCCGACGCGGGCGGCCTCGGATTCCACGAGCGAGAGAGGGTCGGCGAGGACGCAGCCCTCGAGCCGCAGCGCCATGGTCGGTCGCCGCGGCTTAGTACCCCCGATGATAGCACGTGCCCCCCCCCCCCCCCCCCCCCATTGACCCTGTCCGGAATGAAATTCCAGCACTCCTGGGCCAGGCGATTCCCATCTTCAGCAACGACCTTTTGCAGCGCGCCGCCCAGGCGACCGAGGAGGGCGCCCCCGCTTTCCCAATCGTGGTTGGGCCC